GGTACAGTGAAATATATAATTGTGTTACCAATCTTTTGGTTTCAAGTTCTTAATTGTTTGGGGCTAAATCTGGGTACAATTTTCACAACACGAATTGTGTAGAGTGAAATCTTAAAAATTGAGGTTATATTAGTGATCATGTTTTTATCAGAAATTAAAAAAAATTCCGGGTGCTATGAAGTCTACTGAGTCAACTTCTGAAAGAAGGATCTAAATGTGGCTGGTAGTGGATTATCCCTGTCCTCCCTGGACTAAATTCCATGGCTTCCACAGAGTGCTATCACCACCTGCTGGCCAGTTCTAGAACCACAATCTCATAACCAAGAGGTGAGATTTTCTGTTCAACTGCAAATTCACAACCATTTTCCCGCCTGCAATATTTATTATAACGATCTCATATAGCAAAACCGAGTCAAACAAGATCCCCATAAAATTCTCATTTTATCAAAAATATTTGGAATATAAAACCCCAAATTTTAGATAATATGAAATTATTGTATTTAAGCATACTTTTTTCAAAATAAGGTTTACAACTGTTATTTACTGTAAACAGTTGATATTTGAAAAAGCTGCACCAGCCATTAAATTCCAAAGCTCTTGAGTCAGAAAGGAATAATACAATAGATCAGATAAAAAAGACGACAGATAGGCTAGAATGCAACCCACTCGGATGTTCGTAATTAGTTTGTCTCGAGTGGCAGTACTTCTCTGACTCAGTTCCTGTAATCTGCCCCTGAAAAGTAATGCAATGTCCCAAATGTGGGTGCTGCTCACAGCTTCACTTTTCAGAGCTGTGTCGTGGTCAATTTGCAATAATGTTGGGTGTCACCAGCAGATCTGTAAGGTTTTCCCCCTTGGTAAATCGAGAAACCTGAAGGAAGGAACCCCAGTGAGCATGGAACAATTGGAAATTTAAAAGTGAAGATTTATTCCATTTCTGAACTGTGGCACTAGAGAGCAGAATGGGGTTTGTTTATCTTTTCAAAAATATTTTCCTAACATATTTAATGTTCCTATCATTTAATGGGAAACACAAGTCAAATTAGGGTGATTTTCAGGGTCCAGGGGAGGAGAAAGGTAGGTGGACGTTGGAGTTTTCAGAGGGCCAGGCTGTTGGAAGCCACTTGGAGAGTGGTGACTTCCTCTGCTCTCATCTGGGGTGTTTGGGGCTCTGCTGGTGCGAGGCAGCCTGCTGCGGGCCAGCCCTGTGGGCTGTGCTGCCCATCGCGGTGCTCCGAGCTCTGGTGGTGGCGCTGCAGGCCAGTCACCCTGGTCTGCTGCTGGTAGGTGGGTTTCAGTAAGTTCGACTGAGTCCATCACTTCATGAATCTGCCTTTAATCAGCTGAGGCCCCTCCAGGGAGAGAGGCCAGTGCTCCTTGTCATTCACGGGCATGGGTTTTCTTGGAGAAAGGAGGACAGCACCTTAAGAAAGCTGACCCAGATCACCCGCCTGACTGTCACCCAGGAAGCCATGATGGGGGAGTAAATGATTTTAAAAAGTGCCACAACTTAAAAGCCCAGAGCTTCAAAACTAATCATCTGTCGTCGTATTCTTGCAGGGAGGGATTCCAGCATCTTCCTTTCCCCATTTTAATTCCTCAGCCTACTTTTGTTTTGAAGACTTTCCATTCCCCAAGAGTACCATTTGGCTCCCATTCAGAAACAGGGAGACAGGTGGAAGGAAGCAGTATGGTCTGCAGACTTCCCCAGATAAAATCAAACCAGGATGGCTGATGACTTAATGCCACTTTGCCCTCCTCGGGCCCTCTCTCGTGATGCCAGTGACCTAGAGCCAGTTGGCTGGTTGGTTCTGGCTGGGGCCCAGCTGAGTGTGATGCAGAGAAGTGTGAGCTAGGTTAATACCTCACAAACGAAGTGGAGTGCACACAGGAGATAACTAATACTTCTGTGCTCTTTAGGCAACTGGATTAAGTCAACAAACAGCCAACACACATTGAATCCCCTGCATGTGTCAGGCCCTGTGCTGATAAAAGTATGATGATCCAAAGGTACCTCCTACCCTCAGGTTCACCTGGAGAACTTGGGGAGCCCCATAGGTAAAGGAGCGGGTACAGTACAGAGTGAATTCTGCAGAGGTCAGGAGAGAGTTCTCTGGGAGCCCAGAGGCAGACCAAATCTCCCAACCTCTGACATGTGGAAGGCTTTGCAGAGGGCGTGTTCCCCACACCTCCCTATAAGGGATGTGTGGGATTTGCTCATACAGGAGCCTGGAGGTGGGGGAAATTCAGTGGAATGGTTAGCCTAGCAACAGGCAGTGCTTCGTGAGGGTGGGGGGTTGTATTTGGGTAGAATGGACTTGTTCCTTGGGGTGTGAGGGCATGGGGCACACACAGGACCAGTAAGGTGGTCTGGGGTCAGAACAAAGAGGGTCTGCACTGAGTTAAGACACTGAGACTGTTTCCAGAGGCCTGTCTACCTACTTCTTGCCTTTCTCTAGTTCATTCTAGAAAATGGGTCACCAAGAAGATAGCGTCGCCAGATAAAATACAGTTAAGGTTGAATTTTAGGTAAACAATGAATAATTTTTTAGTAGAAGTCTATCCATCCTATTGCATTATTTATTTTTTATCTGCAATACAAATTTAAGTAGGCATCCTGGCCCTAGCCGGTGGGGCTCAGTGGTTAGAATGTCGGCCCATGCACTGAAGGGTCTTGGGTTCGATTTCTGGTCAAGGGCATGTTCCCAGGTTGCAAGTTCAATCCCTTGCCCCAGTTCTGGTGTGTGCGGGAGGCAACCAACTGATGTGTCTCTCTCACATGGATGTTTCTATCTCTCTTCCCCCTCCCTCCCTCCTTTCCACTCTCTCTAAAAATCAGTGGAAAAATATCCTTGGGTGAAGATTAACAAAAATAAATAAATAAATAGGTGTCCTGTGTTTTATTTGCTAAACCTGGCCACCTTAAAAGAAGATTAATATAGAGCAGAATGTACTTATCAGATGAAATATTACGCTGGAAGGTTATTAACCCAACCCTAGGTTGACCATCAATTAAATTAAAGATGTAATGAAATTTATATTGTTAAACCCAAAATACAAGAATTATAAACCTCTGTACTGACTTAAGATTATTAACTTGTGCTTTACAACCTGTGAAATGGGTGTAGATATGCTGTGTGCCTTCACCATTCAAGAGGCTAATCTTCCTACAGATGTGCCTACAGAACATAAAGTACTAGTGTCATGAACTCGACTAATGAAGACTAGTCCAGCTGTAATAAAAGCTGAAGTCCAATAATAGTTTTGCTCATTTTGGAATAATGAAGCACTTTGTGGGGATGATTTACATAACTGTCTTCTCTTTCAAAACAACTTTCAGAGGATTCTGCATTGGCCCCATTTCCCTTTGTAGACTTCCCTGTAGCAAGCAGAAGATCAAAGCGTTTTGGTGCAAAGCATGTGTGTTTGTGTTTGAAATTCTATTCCAAGGAATTCAGAGATCAGGGCCTGGAGAACAAGCACCCTGAAAATCTGGCACTCTGGTATTTTCTTCCTTCTCCTTCCTGCTTCCCCCAACATGCAGGGTGGTGTGCTGGGGCCAGGCAACCTGGAGAAGAGGGAGGGCGGCCCAGTCCCTTTCTCTAGTGATGGCTGGGGCATTGTGCTGGGTGTGCATGGGCTGTGTGGATAGAAGTCCCGGGGTTTCCCAGTGGTCAAGCCAGGACCCACCCTCTTGCCTCTGGGATTCCTGCTCCCTGTACGGCTTGCCACCTGGGCCTGTATGGCTGAGGAGGGTGGGGGCAGGGTCAAGCAGGATCCCCGCACCCAAAGGGGCCTGTGCTTTAAGGATTCAACAGAACGATTCCCGGCCTTGATTTGAGCTGACATTGTGGAGGATCCTCCTGCTGTAGGCCAGGCTTTCAGAAATGCCTTCACTCTGTCTGGAGGTGCTCCTGGTTCCCAAGGACCATATGTTGTGGGATTCTTAATTTCAGTCATGTAGTTTAAAAATTTTTATCACTTATGTAGACTGAGTCAATGAGTTGCCTTACAAAAAAAAAAGAATCACCCTTTCTCCTGTGAAAACCAAATGAAACCAGAACTTCTAAAGAACTTAGAGTCAGTAACTCATAATGGTCCTGGGATTTCAGGCTGTGTGGTTTGTTCAGAGCTCACAGACACAGTCATCCTAGGTTGTAGGAAATACAGGAAGGAGGTAGGTTTCCTTGGGAATTTAAAGTTCCCCGTCCCCAGGAAGCCAGTGTACAGAAACTGGAATGAGCACGTTTGTGTTCCTCTCTGCTCACAGGGAGACAGAAACACACCCCGAATCTCCGTACTGCGCTTCCTATAGCTGCTCAGGACTTCTGGTCACTAACAAGGATAGGCACTTAGATTCCTGAAAAGTGCTGTGAGTCATGCCACATTGGTTTTCTCTGAGTGGAAATCTGATTTTTATCCTTCCAAAACTAGCATTTAAATGACTTGTCTAAATATGGGCTCCATTTAGATGGGCCCTGTGGTCAGGTCAGCTGTGGCCACAGAGCAAGTCCTTCCTTCTGCTATTCGTTGGCGGTGGGTGTGTCCTGGGCAACCTCCCCTAGTGCAGCCACCACGCTGGCAGCAGTGAGTGGTCCCCGCCAACCTCTGGTGGAGCCCAGGGTGTTTATGTCACTGTCCCCCACTGGCCGGCTCAGAGGGTCCTTGGATGGTCTGTCTGTGGCTTATGCCTGTCTGCCCCCCTCATTCACTGCCCCCAGCCTGCCAGACTTCTGCTGGATGGGCAGTGTCACCTCAGCACACACACAGATTGTTCCTTGGGTCTTTGAAACTTAACACAAGGTGTTGAGCAGGGCTTTCAGGGTGGTGCTGTACATACATGAATGAGGCTGTGCAGATGTCCTCGGACACCTCTCATGCACGATGACACTGGGGGAGGCATCCTCATCATGGGAGGCCTGTTATTTGTATTTGATGTAGGGGCACATTTCCTGATCTGTTTTTCTGACTCTAGGCATGCCTTCCTTTCTCAACTGTAGGACTGGTCGCCATAAAGGATGCCCACGATATAGAGACCAGGCTTAATGAGGTGGAGAAGTTGCTGAAGACCGTCATAAGCATGCCGTGTAAAGTAAGTGCAGTCGGGTCGGGGCTGGGTGGGAGATCAGCATGTCCTGCCAGCTTCCAAACCACTGGCCTGCTTGCTCCCTTGGCTGCTTGCCCCTCCCTGGAAGTATCAGGCCGTAGGGAGGTCGGTGGAAAGAACCAGGGGAAAGAAAAACTTCTGTGAGCTCCAGTGGCTCCATTTTTTTCCTCCCTGGGAAAGTGGAAGTGAGGGGCCAAGGAGGTGACTAGGAAGGGACTTGCCCCTCTACTACGGTGGTCTTTGCTCTCTTGCTTCCGTGCAGAAGCCTCCTGGCCTTGCTGAGGGTATTTGAGAAGAGGGTGTGTGGGAGCCCAAGGGACTTTTAAAAAAATATATGTTTTTATTTATATTTTAGAGAGAGAGAGAGAGAAACATCGATGTGAGAAACATGGATCAGCAGCCTCTTGCACACCCCCTACTGGGGATCAAGCCCCAAACCTGAGCATGTGCCCTGACTGGGAATTGAACAGGAACGTCTCAGTCCCTGGGATGATGCTCAGTCCACTGAGCCACGCTGGCTGGGCCCAAGGAACTTTTAGCACTGACATTGGTTGTCGGTCATTTTTTTCGTTTGTTTTTTAATTCTCACCCAAGGATATTTTTCCATTTATCTTCAGATAGAGTGGGAGGGAGGAAGGGAGGAAGAGAGACATCCATGTGAGAGAGAGATACCAATTGGTTGCCTCCTGCTCGGACCAGGTCCAGGGCCCGAACCACAACCAAAGTACGTGCCCTTGACCAGAATCGAACCCACGACTCTTTGGTCTGTGGGCCGACACTCTAACCACTGTGCCAAACCGGCCGGGGTGGCAGTTGGCCTTTAAATACAGTTGGCAGGCTTTCTGGGCAGCGGTGATGAAGAACCAGGATGAGTCAGGTGACCACCTCACTCCTGCAAGCTTTCATTCCCTCTGTGGGTGGGGAGAGTCGAGGCACTCAGTTTATTGTAAAGCGAAGGGAGATGTGGGGAAATGCAGCTACGTAATGGGCACTCAGAAAAAGTAGCGATTATTTCTATCACCTGTCCTGCCTGTCCCCGAGGCCTTGCATTTCAGCTACGTAGGGCCAGAAATAAATGAGAAGTTCACTGATCGCAGCCCCTTCAGTGTGCTCAGTCCTGCAGGCTATCGGAACAACTTGGGCAGTAGCATCAGACAGGGCCACCTGGAGGAGAACTAACTTCTGGTAATTAACAATTTCTTCCCAGTATTCTAGGTCAGAAGTTGTGCTCACCTTCTTTGAAAGATCTCCTCTGGACCAGGTGTTAAAAAATGACAGTGTACATAAAATTCAACCCAGCTTTCAAAGTCCCGTGAAAATATCAGGTAAGAGCTACAGGGAAGGCCTGGGGAGAAAGCTGCTGTGATTTTCTAGAAGCCTTTTGAGAGCGGTGCCTGCATAGTGGGACACAATTTTCATCCTTGGGCTGCAGAAAAACAGTTCAACACAACGAGGACAACAATGGGTGAGAGGCTATTACCAGATCTTCATGAAACTGCTTTCTGATCTAGAGTTCACTCTGTAATTCCTAAGGGGGTTATTTGGCACATAAAGTGGAGCCTAAGAAATGGTGTAATAATGAAAACATCAACAAGGCATTTTTGAAGCAAACTTCTGGAATCGGTAGTCTAGCCTGCTAAAATAAATAGTTCACATAATATAGCATTGAATTTGTTTTTAGTTTAGAGCAGCCACGGCCAAAGGGGAACACATTGTTTAGTTAGCATTGATAAATTAACTAAACAATTAAGTAAAGAAACAAGGTCAGCAGCAGTAAGAGCAAATCGTCAACTGAGCAGAGTGGCTGCGCAGCTCACCTGGGGGGTCAGGTGGAAGCGAAGGGAAAGCCTGGACTTCACCCTTTTTGGGAGCTTTCTAAGAGCTGGGTTGCACGGGTCATTAGAACACTGTTGTTTTTGCGGTATTGCTTTGGTGAAGGCTGCTGAGGGAAAAGAGCTCTTTCCTGGGAGTCTCAGGTACTGGGCTTCCCCAGGCAACAGGCAATCAACTTGTTTTGGCCTAAGAGGTAGCATTTGAGTGAAGTCTTGCAGGTGTTTGCTGGGTGGAAAGGGAGGGAAGGTAGTCAGTTGTAAGGGGAGCTGCAGCTCAGCTAAACGTGAGAGCCCGCCAGACATCTTGATCGATAGGAAGGAGGGATTCTGTGTCCAGCATTCTATTTCTGAGTGGAGGAGGCAGGAAAGAAGAGAAAGGATGGAGGAGCAGGACTCAGAAGGAAGTTCATTGAGAAAGAGTCAGTAGGTGAGAGGGGAGAAGAGCCCAGAGCCAGCTCCTAAGAAGAAATTGGTGGTCATGATGATGGGGAGACAGAGGAAGACAAATTGGGATGATGTCTTTGGTAGAAAAGTGTCCTGACTGAGTTCTATGCCACAGCAGGGATGAGAGTCCTAATTGTCTGCTGGTGAGGCGGACAGAGCAGGAAAGTTCTGGGAACCTGGAATGGAAAAGGTACTTCTAGATATGACTGTGTGCAAGCAGGATGGGTGTTAAGCCTGGGTTTGTCTGTCTGCTACCTTTGATATCGACACATGGTAGCTTCTTGTATTCTTAGAAGAGCGGGGTGGAGGTGGGGTGCTCAGGAGCCCTCCTTTACAGCGGAGTGAAAATGGCTGTCATTTATCCTAGTAGATGCCTGTGGGCTCTAGGCTTGCAGACTCAGAGAGGGCTCCAGGACCCTGTCAGCATGTTGGATTCTGTATGCTGTCCCTGGAGCGGGGCAAGCTCCTGTCCTCATTACACAGTGGAAGAGTCCTGGCACTGGTGTCTCTGTTCTGCTTTATTTCTTTCTGTTTTGAACCAACTGGAGAGCACAGAGCAGCACGATCCTTTCAGGGCCGGAAATCTCCCTGAGGATTTTTTAATGTCTTCTTATGCCATTGACATGGCATTTAGGGAGGAGATGCCACAGGGGCAGGTGCTTCAGGTTGGCCCCCAGAGGGTGAGAAGGACGGACTCGGGCTGTGTGGAGTTGCCTCTGCTTCAGAAACTCCCAGAGCACAACTCGGAGCATTTCCCGTCTCTGTCCTGTGAGTGAGTGGGAAAGCACGTGGCCGCATTTACCCTGCAGAGCTGAGAGTACAGAGATGAAGTGTAACAGGGCCAGCTGTCGAGTCCCGTACCGAGGTTTTGAATATGTTCTCTGTGTCTTTTTGAGAGGGTTTAAGACAAAGGTTTCAGCTTGTACTGTACATGAACCTCAGAGAGGCCTTGCGTGTGAGACCAGGGACGCAGTGTGCAGGTCTGGGAAGGCAGGGGCTGCCAGCACGCTCTGCCCTGGAGACAGCAGTGGGTGGAAGCAACTGCTGCCAGTTTGGGCCAGTACAGAACTTTTTGTAAATAAATGGGGCTGCCTAATAATGGAGTTTGTAAGCCTCTATTACAGGTTGGTCCCCAAAAACCTCAAGTAGGAGGCATGTCCAAGAAATCCCTGCACGAGATGGCAGGCTAGGGGAGCGCCTCTTAAACCCTTCCTGGCTAAGAGTCTCTGACTAAAAAGGGTTTTCTCCTCTTCCCCTGCCCTAATCAATTGGGCACCAAGTCTGGGGATTCTCCTTTTGAAGCTTCACACCCTTCCCTTCTTTGCTTCTGGACTAGATGGCCTCTGTGTCTGAGCAAGTCCTCCTAACATAAATTAGTGTGTAGGTGTGTAAATATGAAGGGGTGTTCCCAAAGATGTAAGGTGTGCTCTCATTATTCACTGTATGAGGAGATGAATATACTAAGACAACAAACTATGATAAATTAAAAAATACTTTTTAATGAAAATGGTATTTGCAATAGCACTGACATCCCTGTAAGGACTATGCTCACATGGGCAAGGCATGTCATTCTGTCTCAGTCCCATATTGCAGGTGTTGCTGGATTTGAGGACCCCTAGGCCCTGAGCCTCAGACTTTGAGAGTCTGGCACCCCTGAGAACTTCCACATGCCTATGAGCCTCACCCTTTCCCTGGTGTATACCCTGGATACGGACGTGGTCATCCCAGAACTCTGACTTTCTGAGCTTAATAATTTTCTCAAAACCTTACGCTCACAATAAAGCCCAAGTCCCGTAGTCATTCCAGGCCTCAGAGTCTGGCTGACTCTGGCTTTTTTTGTGTGTCACTCGCTATAGCACTGTCTCCGGCAGACCCTCAGCCTCTCCTGGTTGGGCTTAGCTTGTGTTGTGGCTGCCCCTCCCTGTCCACTCCTGTCCTGCTAAATTCCATTCATTCATGAAGATGCCCCAGCTTGCTGCACGACTCACCCAGCCCCTCCTCCTCCTCTCCCCAAAGATTTTATAATGCCTGTTTATGCCATTGACATGGCATTTAGGGAGGAGGTGCCACAGGGACAGGCACTGGCCTCCCTGGCCTTCCTGGCCATCAGAGGCTGCTCTTCACATTCCTGACCGAGATGCATCCAGCCGCATGTGCAGCCTCCTTGCTCATGTTCAGACTGTGCAGTGGCCACAGACTCCACTAGGTGGCGCCAGATGCTCGTGGTGCAAGAACCGAGCCTTGTCCTGGGCCCACAGCAAGGACAGCCCGGAGATACTGTGGACTCTCTGGTGATGCTTTGGGTCAATACAACCTTAAACATTCTTCATTCATTTTAATGTAAGTGCTTATCAAATCTAAGAAAAAAAGGAACATATGAATTAATGAACTGAAGGACTGTTGGCATATGGGGTATTTGAAAACATGGCTGCAGTTAAAAAGAGAAGAAAAATCACTACCAGGCAAACTCCTCTATAGTAATTGTTGCAGAAAAGATCCATTGATAGATGCTAAGATTATGGGGAGTGAAAGTTTCAGGAGAAACAGGATTTTCAGAGTCCCAGTGCATCTCCTCAAAAGATATTTCTTAACTACCAAGAGAAAGATAGTAACCTTCTTTGGAGAAACTGGCAGAAACCTCCTTATCCAGATGATCCAGGCCCAAGTCCCAGGAGTGAGGCCAGCTGACATTATACCACCCCTGATGCATGCACCCAGGAGAAGGCGGTGTTCCTCTGCAGGGCTCCTGCCCAGAACACACCACTGCAGTCAGAACTTACAAAAATATCAGACAGATCGGGGACATCAGTAAAATAACTCACCAGTCCTCTTCAAAAGTGTCACGGTCATGAGAGATAAGAGTAGACTGAGCAACTGTCAGAGGTTGTAGGAGACTTAAGACAACTTTATGCATCAAGGGTCCTAGAACCAAAAACAGGGACATAAGTGAAAAAAAATGGTGAAACTCAAGGGAGGGAGATGTTTAGTTAACAGTATTGTGCCATGTTAATTTCCTTCGCTTAATATTTGGACCATAGTTACCTAAATGTTAACATTAGAGAAGCTGGTGAGGGATTGTGAGAACTCTACTGCTTCCATGACTTTTTGTAATTCTAAAACTAGCTCAGAAATGTTAAGAAAAATAAATGGCAAAGCAGGACTCAACTTATGTGAAAAAATATGAATGCAAAAATTTAGCTTGAGAATGAACTATGTCATGGAATCAGTCATTAAATTGGCCAGTGTTTTTGTTTTGTTTTGTTTTGTTTTTGTTATAGGTACTAAACTGACTTCTAAGAAATTCACATTTTAAGTATGTTTGAAGATAGGTTCAAATGCTATAATTTTTCTGGAATCATAACATTGCTTCTGGTTCTTTTCATTTGCATGACACAACAGATATGAAGACATTAGCAACCATGGTAGTAATAACTACCATTTATAAAGCCCCGGGCACTTACTAGGCTCTTTACAAATACCACCACATTTAATGTGCACCTGTGCCTTTTGGGGTGAATACTGTTGTTCCCATTTTACAGATAAAGAAACTGAGTAAGAAGTAACCTGGTCCCCAGGCATAGGTAGCAGAACAAAAGTTTCCTCAAAGGCCCAGATAGCTTTGCAAACAATTAAACCACATTTCTGTGCACAAAAGCTTAGCATGGGCAACTGAGGAGTGATTTTCTACGCATCTGTTTTCAGGGGCTGGTAAGGATTCCATTTTCTAGAGCTCCAAGTTTCACATTTAGGAAAGATATTAAGAAGTTCCTATGTAAGGTATTTCTTCATACATTACGAAATGTTTTGATGCAGTGACATTTGTTTTCATTCATAAGGTTCTCCCTCCAAATCCCCTTGGCATGGGGTGCAGAAAGGTGTGGGCTGCCTGCTAGCTGTGTTGACATCACTGTGCTTCCTGAGACAGACAGATTTGAGTCAGACTTAATGAAAGCAGCTAAAGAAATTTTTTTTTTTATTGCTTTCATTAGTGTTCCCATAAGTTTAAAATTGAGAGGTGAGGGAACCTTAGTCTTTCTGGTTAAGATTTAGTCATCTTCAGAGTCACTCAGGCTCTGGTAAACATCTTCTTGTACCTTCTCACACCTAGGAATGTGGTTGGCCCTGGACATTCTGTTGGTTTTTAGTCCTTCTCAGGACTTGCAGGCTTTTGTCTGGTTCTTGTACAGCAAAGGCAGGCAGGCTCTGCTGGGCTCCAACCGATGTCACTCAGAGTGTGACTAACTGAGCTGGTGTTGCAGAAGACCGGTGAAATGTGGGTTGTCACTTCTCCAGAAGGCCACACAGTGTTTTTTTTAGCAACTAATTCCTTGGTAGATCTAATAGATGAATAGTCATTTTAATGCTGTCAGGGTGAGGAAAAAATCTTCTATTTTTCGCTTTCTTTCTTTTTGTTAATCCTTATTTAAGGATATTTTTTCATTGATTTTTAGAGAGAATGGAAGGGAGGGAGGGAGGGAGGGTGGAGGAGAGAGAGAGAGAGAGAGAGAGAGGGAGAGAGAAATACAGAAATATCAATGTGAGAGAAACACATCGATTGGTTACCTCCTGCACGACCCTGACTGGGACTGGGGATCTTACCTGCAACCCAGGTACATGCCCTTGACTAGGAATCAAACCCATGACTCTTTGGTATGAGAGCCAGTGCTCTAACCGCTTAACCACACCAGCCAGGGCTATTTTTCTTTCTTCATTTATCTGTAGTTTCCCTAATTCTTTTCATTTGGAGAGAAATTTAAAGAACTGAAAACCAGATACCTAGAAAGATTTAAAAATAAACATGGAGTTACAATTTTACTTATAAAAGCACAAATCCATACATGGGAATAAAATATTTTAAGTTATGGTCAGATGTAAGAAAACAAATAAACCTCCCAAACAACAGCAGCAGCAGATGCCCAGTGAGCCGGGGACCCTTGCTGCCCGTGCCGCGCCAGGAGAGAGGAAGGGCTCTTTTGAGCTGCATGTTTCCTTGTGTTAGGCCTTGAATGGGAGGATAATAATCCTTTGGATAACCCTTTGAATTTGAGAATGCACCAGACATTTTCCAGTTGAGGATACTGAGTCCCAACACCACAGAGCTCATTGCTGGGCTGAGCTGCAGTCTCCGAGCTCCCAGCCGAGCTCCCAGCCGGAGCTGGTTCAGCTCCCACGCCCTCAGGCACCCCCGTTCCCACCTCTTCCAGTGCAGAACAACCCAAACCTGTGTCCTTAGAAAGCTAACATCATACAGTAATGTAGACATATGAAAACATTTTCTTTGTGGGCCTGTTTAAATTATCAAAGTTTGTCATTGTTAAAAAGTCAGTTTATATGCAGAATTAAAGTAAAAAAGTGAAGTTGCCATTTGGTTTAAAATGCACACTGATCTCATTCGATTCTCATGGCAGCCCGGGGCAGCGATGGTGTTGTCCTTTGTCAGTCAGGTGGGAGCTTAGAAACCTGCAGAGGCCCCGGCACTGTGCTATGGACCTGGACCAGCTCAGTGCTCTTCTGCTCCAGGTTTCAACACATGGGGAAGGGCATCTGGGGAGAGAGCTCAGACGACCAGGCCGCCTCCTGGGGGAGAGCGGTGCCTCGTGGCTTGCATAGGGTCAGCAGATGTGACTTCTGTGAAGGCTGGCATCAGCCTGAATCTTGTGGCAGGACTCCAGAATGGGCTCTCGCATGCAACCCGGGGTGCAGTGTTCTCCTAAAGTGTGGGGGAGATGGGGCAGTAGGGAGAGGGCGATGTTGAGATTAATATAAGCCCCAAACTTCAAAACCTGATCCCTCCTGAATGTTTATCTATTGCTTTCATTTTCAGAAATCATGAGGTCCAATGGATTTTGTTTAGCAAATACAGAAACTATTGTTATTGACCACAGTATACCTAACGGAAAAGAGCAGCACCTGGGTGTGGATCCGACAGAGCATTTGTAAGTACGCTGGTTGAACGCAGTTTTACAGAAGCGGTCCTGGAGCAGCCAGCCAGTGCCAGGGCTGCGTTTGCTGCCGCCGTGCGGAGCTCCCAGGCAGGAACTACATGTGGCCAGAAACACTGAGCCATCCTGCCTGTATTTGGACACTTATTTAAAGAGTTTGCCTCTAGAGGATGTAAGACCTTGGTTCATAAACCTTGTGGGAACACAGATCCTTTGCCCTAGTGGCTGGCTGTGACAGGCCATCAAGCGGAAGTGTCCAGGCTTCAGGGTCTGGCCTGTGCTAGGCCTTGAGGGGTACAGGGGCCACAGCCTCCTTGATCACAGGGCCTGGTCTCCTGGGCTGGAAAGTGTCACTTGCACATCGGCCTCACATTGAAGGGTTGGAAATTCTCCAGCCCCCCAGGTGGCCGCTGGGTCTGCTCTGAAGGGAGAAAGAATGAGTCTGATTAGTGAAGGCGGGACAGCCAGAAACACCACTTGCCTGTTCTTCCTTTCTCTTATAACAGAACTTTTACTACACGTGCTCTAGGGAAGCCCGACACCTGGCGGCCCCTCGAGGCACAGCCACCTTTATCCTTCGTGCGCTTCTGGCCATCTCCTTGGGAACTGACAGGCAGCAGCTTGAGGGGGCATCATAGCTTGGCTTCTGTTGACTGTCAAGGCAAAGCCCAGGGCTCTTCTGTTGTGTGTCAGGAAATTATTTAACCTCTCCTGGCTTCTCTTAATCTTCAAAGTGGGACCACTGTGCTCTCACAGTGTCTGCTGAACCTCTCAGGTTATGAGTGTGACATGCCTGGGTGTGCAGAATCTTCCTATAGGCACAGGAGAAGCACAGCCCATGGGGTGGAGGGGCCTCTCGGCATCCCAGGTCCAGGCTCATCCACTCAACTGAAAATAAAAACAAACTGGGACAGACACACATGCTGAGACATGTATCTGAGCTAGGTGACTTCAGGACAGGCTGACCCTAGGCTGTCTTTGTTGGCCCCTGCTCTGTGACTGAGCCCAGGGTGGGCAAAGCCCTTTCAGCCTCATGGAATGGGCTCCAGCCAGCAGTTCCCACTTTCTTAGTTTCTCAGATGTTTCTCGGGTAGATGGCACAAGAACCTTTCTCAGTGATGTCATAAAATACTGGTATAAAAGGGTATGCTGGCAAGGCCTTTCTCTGAAATTATATTGTCCTTTTGCATGCCTTGCCATGACTTTCCCAGCTAGCCTGGAGCTTTGCATGGACAATATGACTTGCCTTAATATGTGGCCACCTGCCCAGGTACCTGGCTGGCAGGGAAAGAAAGCAAAGGAAAACCTCTGCGATCCCAGGAAAACTTAACAAAAGAAACATCTGCCTCCCAGTGGCTCGGGGAGCAGTTAGAAGGGATTCCTGCCCTGGGCTTGCCAGGTGTTTCTCCAGGTACCTGAGCTAGGGCACTTGGTTGAGCTGCTGAGCTGTTGAGCTGCTGTCTCTTGGGAGCAATCTGTTTTCACATCCAAAGAGCTGTCAGGTGTGTGGTGGCTCTGAGGTTGGGTCACAGAGGGATGGCATTTGAGTAGCTGGAGATTTTACCTCCTGGCTGCAGCCATCCTTAGTGGTACTCACGGGGGACCTTTGGCCCCAGGGCTGTGAGAATTCAGTGCTGCCAGGCATGCTTGTTAGGACTTGTGCCATGGAGCCAAGCAAGTTGCCCCCACCTGTCTTGGGAGACAGCAGATACCAGTACCCAGGACCAGAGATCCCACTGCACTCAGAGAGTGGTGGGTGTGCCTGATGGGGATGAGTCAGTGGGACTACTGGGTCTCTGGTTGGCTGGAGGGGTTGAGGCTCCTGGGAAGTTCACTGCTGAGATGGCCCTAACTCTCTTCATAGGTTAGGATCAGAGGCATTTGTCATGCCTGCCTAGGACCAAGGTGATTCATTTTCCTGAACATTCCAGCTTCCCCTTTCCTCCTCAGTCCTCAGGGTCATCTGGCCTGAGGGCATGTGTAGTCAGGGGGTAGGAAGCTGGTCGGGCAGGGCTGCATCTTGACTCTCACTGTGGCCCTGTCCCTCTCCTGCGCCCAAGAGTCCCTTTTTGGTTTCATTCCAGTACTGGTTTGAGAGAAGAGATGTACTATCCTATAATAAAGCTGGAGAAGTGGCTTATCTCCATGAGACACCCTACCCCCAGGCTGCACATGTCTTCCTGTCGCAGCTCCATCTCCTTTTGCATCGTTGGTGCTCCCAGTGCAGGGTGCCAGGAGGAGGAGCTGGGCCCTCGAGTTCTTCCCCAAACCTCCACATCCCTCACTGTGCAGTTCAGGGAACCCAGCTCTGTGGCCTCTTGTGTCTCCTACTTTTATGAGCTTAGACTCGGAGGAAGCATGCTTCCCTAGGAGTCCCATTTCTGAAGCTGACAGGATTCTGCACTGTGTGCTCTTGATGCAAAGGTGGGGCCCAAGTCTCTGCACCCCCCTGCAGCACCCCAGCCAGAGTAGCCAAGTCAAACAGTCATTACTGTTGTTTGGTCAGTTCGTGTCCTTCCTGGTCTCTCCAAAGTTTCCTGAGTGTAGCTGAGCTCACACAAGTGTCTGCTGGTCACAGACTAAGCAGCAGGAAGGAGCTACCGCCCATGTCTGCCAGGCTCTGCTGTGCTTGGGCTGATTTTTGGTTGAGGAAGGTGGAAAAAGCACAAGAAGCATCTCCGTCTCCCTTCCTGGGGAGAATGTACTTCATGCGCCTCTGTTACGCATTCTTCAAAAGTCTGGAGTCTGTTTTTCTTTCTAGCTTAGGAGGCCTTGTCTGGGTTACACAGGCAGGGAAATGGTTGCAGTTGAAGGCTTTCCTCTAGGAGCTCTCTCACCGCTGACCTTACTGACCTCACCGTGCCTTCCTGGGTTCCTCCTGCTTCCTAGTCTCCCTCCACCTGTATGCGCCTTATCTGAAGATATAGTTCGGTTGCGAGCCTGTGATCACAGTGGCTTTTCTCACTAATTTTTGCTGTAGTGCACAGGGCCCGACCATGGTAGGCTCCTGTTCCCAAAGACAGACCTCGTCTGCCGTGTTCACTGCTGTGTCCCCAGAACTTGACACAGACCAGTCCCTAGATTGAGAAAAGTCATCACTCTGTGAATCAATGAAGCGTCCATAACTACTGCTTAATGAACACAGAGAGTAGTCTCTAAGGCAGTAAAAATCAGAGCCATGACAGTCTGTAGAATAGGGTCCATCTCACCTCATTCATAACATGGTTCTTTCCACACTTCCTCAGCATGCATGGAAGAGGCCATGCCCACTGGCCAATGGCCTGTGTGCGGGGAAGAGCGGAGGGGAAAGCCCTCCATACTATTTGACATCAGTCCCCAAGTGCCCTCCTGCCAATGGGTTTTCTGTGCTTTCTCCATTTCAGCGGAGCTTGGGTTCAGTGAGCCAGTCTCAGCCCTTCCCTCTATCCTTCCCATTTCAGGTTTGAGAATGGCAGTGAGTTTACCTCAGAGCTGGAGGATGGCGATGACCCAGCAGCTTATGACACCAACCTGTCCTATTACCACCTGGTCCCCTTTGAGACAGACATTTTGGACTGAGTCTCCATGGGGCCCCCTCCTCTCCAGCCCTCAACTGCTGGTTCTGCTGCTGCTCACTGTGCTGACTCCAGGCCACAGCTCGCCATGCCTGTGTTGACTAAGTGTGGTTCTGCTGCCAGGCCCCACTTGGCAGCCCACACCCATGAGGCCCGGTGTTTTGCAAGTGGAGCAGTGGGGTTTCTGAGGTTAGGGCCCACCCCAAGATCTCCAACAACCAGGATACAGATCCCGGGAGTCCACGAAGCCTGCTGCTATGAAAGGGTCTTCTCTCCACTGCACACCACCAGCCTGTTTCTGCATTCCTGGGACTCGCTCCCCACAGCATGTGGAGGAGCCGCAAGTGCCTGCAACACATCAACACATCACAATGCAAGGGCGGAACACCCAGGGCCTTGCTGGGCTCCTCCTCTCCTGTTCCTGCTTCCTGGGGAGAGCCTTCCTCTTGGTTCAGTGGCCCACGGCCAGCCAGCCCCCTCCCCTCCCACCATCCCGGGCATGACAAGCGCACAAAACAATCCATGTGAGGTTTTGTTGTGTTGCCAAGTTCTGGATGACACACACAGGGCACGTTAAGTAATCAACATTTTCCTGGGAAGCAGGATGTGTGGCTTTCATTTGTTTTTCATCTTTTACCTGGAAACTGTGGGCTGGCTTTGTGTCAGCCATAGAGGGTGTTTACAGAAGGTGAATTGTGAATGGGGATAGAGACGGAGAAATCATTGACCATCAGGTGCTTATCTGAGCTGGGACTGAGTTAATGATTCTTCTCAAGAGGAAAAGAATCCTGCCTGGCCTGCCAGCATCTCTTCAGGGTAACAGCGTCTTGACCACCCTGAGCACCAGAGGTTTGCCTCTCCTGCCGGTTCCCAGGTCTCAACCATGTAATTGCCATGGTAACATGAAAGGATGGAAATGAGAAGAAAGCCACCCGCTCAGCTGCCTGTTCCCCTTTGCTCTGGGGGAGGGGCTGGGTTGTACGTGTATAACTCCTTTATCTCCTCACAGTGTCTACTAAGGACCAACATTAGCTAATGTAAATAATAGTAAATTATTGAAAATCCTAATTCTTTTACACAATCTGTTTTTAAATCTATTTTAATTAAATAAAATATATTACTCTTCTTTTATGGATGTAAAGTGTTTATGTATAAAGGTGTGGCTCTTTTTAGTCCCTGCCAGAGAGAGGGTAGAAACCAAACCCTCAGCGTCACTGAGGAAGATGTGTGTTTTTGTAGGGTTTTCTTCTTCTCAGTGTTCCTCTTTGGCAGCCACAGGAAACCTCTTCTGTGACTCAGCAGCACATACAGGATTTTCCCTTCTGCCTTCCAGCTGTGCTCAGTTTAATGCATCCTGCTTTCAAGTAGGCTATTAGCTGGCGGATGGGGGTTGACCAATTGCCTTTTTTCTCTTGAGGGATATTATTCAGTTATGTCCAAGGATAGGGCTGCTTGCTTAGCAGTAAAGGTTAGAAACAATCACCAAAGAAGTGAAAACATGTCCATACCAAGACTCAAATAACTAACTTGCTCAGGTATTAATCCGGTGGGTATTTCTGGAATGCCTACGTCACTGAAGGTACACTGCTCCTGCCAGAAACCTAGGCTGCCTGGTGAACAGGGCGAGTGGGTGTGATCCATGCTCTGAAATCACTCACAGTGAGGTGTGAGGAGCACCTTACACTCTCAGGAGCAGCGAAACCAAAACCATGTATCGAAAGGTTCCCTTGTGAAACAAGTGTGTCCCCAGGAAACCACCTCAGAGCTCTCTGGCACTCTGTGAGTGTTTATTCTTTCGGAAAAGAGAAAAGAACATCTGTAACAGCAATGCCCTGCTGAAAAGATTGCCTGCCCATTCGTACTTCTGGGTATGTGCTTTCTCCTTCCCTGTGAACACACAATAGCACCCTAGGATCTGGGTGTCCATGTGGAACTTGACTTTGAAAGTGGTCTGTCTCACCCTCCCTCCCCAAGCAAGAATCCCCCCTCAGTATCTTAGATGAATAGCCATGCTCTCTGTCTATGGAGCAAAACATTTTTTTTTTCTTTTTATAAACACTTCTGATTTTTTTTAAAGTGTTTCCCTAGGTTAAATAAAATTTATTTCCCCTTGGACTAAGTAATGCCCCTAGAAATGAGTATTTCAAATCAAATCACTCTTCTACCTAAAGACCTTCAAATATATGAAACTGGACTTACACTATATTGATTTTTTCTCATCTCAGCATCTTTACCTTGGAGAATCACCCCTTCCCTCCTCCTTCGAAGTCCTGTTCTGTGTATGTGGTTCAGGGGCTCTCCCTCTCCCTGCCCCAGTGTGGGCACAGGGACCGGCCAAGCTGGCAAGATGACATCACCACCCTGACCACAGTGGTCTGTCAAAGAAGCGCAGGAGACTGTCCTCAGCCTCTCAGTGTGACCCTGAGTAACCTTGCTGGAGCTCTCTGGAAACATGGTCTCGTTGTGGGGAGGAGAGCAGTGAGTCTGGAGCTTGTGGTGGTCTTATTTCCCACCATGTGGAATGTGCCTGCCAGAAATGAAAAAGCAGTGCATAAGAACGCGGAGCGAGCAGGTGAGAAGTGGGGAGGGGACGGAAGTGGAAGGAGGTGAGTCTAAGAACACATGAGGGCTGGGGTCTATCAGTGCTTGACGTTAGTCTAGAATGTGTATTTCTATGATACATTTCTTCCTCCTTTAGCTTAGATTCAGTTTGGACACTTCAGTATTCCTGCCTAATACTCATTGACTGTAGGCCTTATGTCCCACTACATTGTCTCCCAAACTGGAATCTTGTCTTTCTTTAATTTGTCCTCTAATATGAGGATTCTCAGAACTTTAGCTTTCCTTATCATTTCTCCCTGGATGAAGCTAACTTGTTAGGTTTCCTTTAAAAAAGGTTGTGCCAGCATCTAGCACAAGAATTCAGAGGAGTTCCCACCAGTGGGACCAGGAGAGCAAAACATCCTTGCTTGGAATGCTATCATTCCAACAGCACCAAAAACGTGTTTCCTTCCTAACACATCACCTACCTCCAAGTTCCATGGCTTCTTTTTTAAAAAAATTTATTATTATTATTATTATTATTACTCTTTAATCCTCACCTGCGGATATATTTTTATTGATATTAGAGAGAGGAAAGGAGAGGGAGAGAAAAACATCGATGTTTCTTGAGAAAGAACATTGTTTGGTTGCCTCCCATATGCATCCTGACCGGGAACAACCTGAAACCTTTTGGTGTACCAGATGATGCTCCAACCAGCTGAGCCACCTGGCCAGGGCTGGTCCTTTTACTTTTGGTCATACTTAAACAAGGGCTTTTCATGGCCCATAGCCTTCCCAACAAGGTTTAGTTCTTTTTAGGAATTGGCTTTTCTGAAACAACTGTTTTCAACACCCCCATGTGCACTTATGGTTGGCCTGCCCATTCTATATATCTGTCATTTTATACCCACGTTTATCAGAGACCTCACTGATTCAACAATATCCATCATTTTAGGAATCTCCATTCTTTGCTTCCTCCTTGGGTAATTTCTATTTGTAGTCAGTGAAGTCTTTTTGTTTGTTTAGTTTTTAAAAATCCCTTTAGTTACTCCTGAGGTATTTTCTCTATTGGAGCTTCTAGACATGAACTTATGCTTTAATGTGTTTCTGAACTTCTTGAAATCAGTTGTATTAGATTAGGTCATGCTACGATGTGGTCACACACAAACGCAAACCTTACAAACTACACACAAAAGCCCATTCTCACTTACACTGTGGGTTCCATCTGCTCTTCACTCAGTTCAGATCAGAGTTTTCCCTGTGTGTTTGGTCATATGGTACTGGTGGCGACCCTGGCAGAGTAAGATTTAGTTGGTTTTGGGATTTTGCCAGACTAATATGACTGTGGGAGAATGGGGAAAACAATGGATGGGTATAGAAGGGAATGATTAAAATGGTGCAATCTGGGATCCAAACCGGGTGAAAAGGGAAGCAAGGAAGAGGAGGCAGACTGCTGTAGACAAATCTCCAATTAGTAGCTGTAGGTCCCAGTGGGACGAGGGAATTGCTGCGTGGAGATGCACAGCTGAAAAATGGGAGGTGGAGGTCAGAGTCAGCTGCTTGAACGTGAGATGGTGAAGGACACAGGTGTGATCACAACCAGGTCTGTGATGTGACTGATGTCAGGTGGACAGCAGGATCCCGAAGGAGAGGAGGAAGTGACTGGAGGCCATGGATAACACATGCAGAGAGTGGAACATTACAAACTGTAGCAGAAGGAATGCTGGGGGCACTGACCATGAGCCAGAAGCTGAAATCTCCAGGACTGAGGCAGGGTGACCCCAGTGGGTGCCTCTAACCATAGGGTTGGGTGATAGAGTCTATGGCATAAGCTGTAAAGTTTCCTCTTGTGGGGGTGTGGGAGGAGTATGTATGTGGTGAGCAGGAAAAGAAGTACAAAGATATGATAGTGACAGTGAGGAGCAAATAGGACAGTTGTGTCCTGGAGAGAGAGCCCAGAGGCGGGATGGGTGGGAGAACAAAAGCCGTCACCCCCTGAGCAGTTGGCAGGACAGCAACGTCTGAGAGGAGTGCCAGGCTCAGTTCAGGTAAGAAGGTGAAGGCATTGTTCACAGCAGATATTTTCGGTCTGTACTAAATAGTAAAACCTAGTTGATTGATATTTTCAATTGTATTCATATGACATATTTACATTAGATAAATGTTTAAGACTCATTTATTTCTTACATACTTTATATTGTATGCTACTGTATTTTACACTTTACTAAAATATTTTTACCATGTTTTTGGAATTAAGACGTTTAAAATCTAGAACTGTTATCTGGTAAATTAAACTGCATTATAATTGTTATATTCTAATGCGGGCCATGTAGTTTTGATCACATCACAAAGTCAAATACTGATACTCAAAATTTCTATTTGGTATCATTTTTCTCAGCAGTGGTAAAGTGCAGGCAGCAATGCTGCCCCCTGCTGCTATGTAGGAAAACTGCACCCACATGTAGGCCTAAGAAGTCACAGTGCACCTTCTTGGTATGACTGGCCTACTTTTTCTAACTTGCTGTAACTCAGTTAAACAACTGTGAAGACTAGTATGTGTCGTGTGTTGCTGTAGCTGATAAAGTAGGGAAATATTTATTAATTAACAACTCTAAGAAAATGAACATTCCCCTCCAAAACCCACTGTCCCTATACACAATCATGGGTGTGTGATGAAGATAAACACAAAAATATTCCTAATTTCTAGTGTTTAAATTTGAGATTGATCAGTGTGGATGGATATTTAAGAATTTCCCACACTCAGGAAATGAGCATGCAAATGACCCTTAAGCTTTATCAACAAATACACTGCATCAGGTTTTCTCAAAGCATGACCCTGAACCAACAGTCCAGCGTAACCTGAGAGCTGGTCACAAATGCAAAGAGCTGCTCCACCCCTAACCAGTTGGATCAGATACTCTGGGTGGGCTCAGCCACCTGAGGTTCAACAAGGTTTCCAGGTGATGCTGATGAATGAGTTTGTGAGATGAGAGTTAGAACCCTGACGCTCTAGGTATGGTCTACAGGATTGCCATCACCTGCACCCAGGAGTTTGTGACAATGGCAGACCCTGAGGACCTCGCCAGATTTCCTTAATCAGAATTTGCATTTTAACGGGATCCTCAGCTATTTGAGAAGCACTCTTTTAGAGGACAAAGGTGGCAAATACTGTCCTTTGCCTACCAAACTACCATTCCTGTCCGTCTTGTCTGTGAATAAGACCCCAATTTTGTAATTGGCAGGGCAAATGGGGGCATCTTGCAAATTTTGAGAATAAAGCAAAATTATTTTCCTTGCAAAATTTCTTCACAAAGCAGTTGCTGGCAAAAGCTTCTCCAGGTAAAATGAGTGAACATCCATGGGGGCTAACAATGCACAGCTAGGAGAAAGGGAAAATGAACTGTTCTGCCTCCTGGTATCCCTATTTTGAGGGGACCAGCCTGCTTGTTCCCTGATAGGACCTGAGTCAGGCATCTGCATTGAGCCAGAGACAGGGCCTCTGCTTGCTCTCTCCAGCT